TCATTCATTCATTCATTCATTCATTCATGAATATGGGATAAGAAAAAACTCCCAGTATTTTAATAAGATATTACATATTAATTAAAAAAAAAGCGAACATCTAACACATCGATAAAAGCCTACCTTTGCTGGCTGAAAATTCAACAGATAAAAATCTTGGACTCCAAGGGAGTCCAAATGGTTCTGAGTTTCTTTTTTGTAAGCTGCCCAGAGTCACCTTGATGGAGTTGGACAACCATATACAGTGGGGCAAAAAAGTATTTAGTCAGGCACCAATTGCGCAAGTTCTCCCACTTAAAAAGAGGAGAGAGGCCTGTAATTTTCATCATAGGTATCAATGACAGAGGTCAAACGTTTTCTGTAAGTCTTCACAAGCAATGACAGAGGTCAAACGTTTTCTGTAAGTCTTCACAAGCAATGACAGAGGTCAAACGTTTTCTGTAAGTCTTCACAAGCAATGACAGAGGTCAAACGTTTTCTGTAAGTCTTCACAAGCAATGACAGAGGTCAAACGTTTTCTGTAAGTCTTCACAAGCAATGACAGAGGTCAAACGTTTTCTGTAAGTCTTCACAAGCAATGACAGAGGTCAAACGTTTTCTGTAAGTCTTCACAAGCAATGACAGAGGTCAAACGTTTTCTGTAAGTCTTCACAAGCAATGACAGAGGTCAAACGTTTTCTGTAAGTCTTCACAAGCAATGACAGAGGTCAAACGTTTTCTGTAAGTCTTCACAAGCAATGACAGAGGTCAAACGTTTTCTGTAAGTCTTCACAAGCAATGACAGAGGTCAAACGTTTTCTGTAAGTCTTCACAAGCAATGACAGAGGTCAAACGTTTTCTGTAAGTCTTCACAAGCAATGACAGAGGTCAAACGTTTTCTGTAAGTCTTCACAAGCAATGACAGAGGTCAAACGTTTTCTGTAAGTCTTCACAAGATCTTTTTAAGTGGAAGAACTTGCACAATTGGTGGCTGACTAAATACTTTTTTGCCCCACTGTAATTGTTTAATGTAAGGTCAAATAAAAACTTTTGAAACAGAAAAGGAAAAGAGATCTTGGGATCCCACCAAAAGTCAAGGGGTTGTAAAACTAAGGAAAGGATCTCCCCCAAAGATCTTTAAATATGGGCAGCTTTGTAAAGAACAAAACAAACTTTTCCTTGTAATTAATTTATATTGAGTCATGTAGAAGACATTCTGTATTTGGGGCTAGTGCATTCTCCTGGTGTTTGTAGGCCAGGTCCAAATTTGAAAGCCTTTAAGTGGTGGCAGTGAACTATCCTCAGCCCTATAAATGAACAGCCATAAAATATAAATGGTAAAATAATCACATCTATACAATTTATCATTGCCCATATAACTTACTCCTTGTCCCATAAAACTAACAGTGATATGACATATATTTATTGCTAAATAATCAAATTTTGTGATTAGTTAGGAAACTTCATGTCTGCTAAAAAGTAAGTTACATAAAGTGTGTATGTATGGCTAGGGCCTCAAACCTATAGTAAGTAAATACATTTATTGTTGTAATCACAGGTCATAGCATAAGAATGCCACAAAATACAATAAAATAATAAAATAAAATAGTGAAATTATAAAATAGGTTAATAGAAGCAGTATTAGATGTAAAAAGGTTACAACAGAATAAAGCCAAAGCTACAACTAGGAACTCAAGTATTTCTTTCCAAGTTTAAATGACAGCAGAGCAAAAGTAGCAATTTGGTTGCTGACATCTGCAACAAGATAGTTCAATTTTTCAAGGTCAGAGCCCTTGAGTTCATCTGACATTAATAATTTGGCCCTGGTCTTATTATAAATGGGACAATGGTCAAGTGGATAATGTCCTCCACTTGACCAATACCACAAGGACAGAGGTGGTGCTCAACAGGATGCTTACAAAATCTCCCTTCAACATATGCGGAGAGCATGGTCTGCGGTGAAGGGATATTAAAACTCTTCTCAGTGAAGCGCTAGTTATGTTAACCAGGTGCTGGGAGAGGCTTCTATGTTTTCTATAATGATGATACCAAGATGAAAATTTAGATGATTGTACAGTGGCATCTTTAATAGCATCCCTTTCAAAAAGCCAATCTCTAATATTTTATCTATTCCAAGATCTAAGTTCTCCCAAAGTGGTAGGGAATACATTTGTAGAATGGGTGACAAAAGTTTGGTCCATTGATTCCCAACCATGTAATGGAGAAAACAGAATCTGGCAAGATGGGATTCTTGAAGGCTTTCTAGTTTTTTACAGTACCCCAACAATGCAAGGTATATTCTAACAGTGATGGAAAGTAGCCCTACCTCCTTCCCTAAATAGGCAGTGGGGGTGCCCTGAAGGAGGCCCAAGATCTTCCTTAGTTGTTTTGGACTACTTCAAATTGGGCAATGACTTTCTTATCCCACCCCAAAATCTCAGCCTCATACAGCACCTGGGCTATCACTTTGCCTTGCAATATTTTAAGTGCAGGGGTTACCAGTTGCCCTCCTTTAGAATAAAAAATGTCAGAATAGCACCTACTGTACGTTGGGCAGTTGTCAAGACAGTAGATAAGTGTGCTTTCCATAAAAGGGAACCTCAAACCTATATAATCTAGCCTTCACTGAACAGAAGAAAAAAACCTCTTTAACACAGATGGATGTAGTGGGGAAAATGGCTAACACTTTCTCTATAAGCTCATTGAAACCAGTTCTCTTTCTTCCAGGGAGAAGACACTGTTGTTTATCAGTGAGTATGATTAAAGGCTCTTGCCACTGATGTTACATGGCTCTGCAGCATCAATGCTTGTACTAGGAGTAATCCCGGACTGCAAACCTGATTCTTAAGCAAGACTGCAATCAGAACAGCATTTCTTCAGAAGCCTGAACAAGAACTTTGATGAAGTAGAGAGGGTGCTCTCAATTATATCCTCTGCCACATGTGGGTTTATCTCATGCTTCTCCTAACTCTTCTGGGTTGCTGGGGCGAGTATGACAGCTTAGCTCTGGGAGACTATCAATGGTTCATTGAGTGACAGAATGTTGCTATCTGCCTTGAAAGAGGCAGTGGTATGCCCTCTTCTTAAGAAGCCCTTTTTGGAGCTAAAACTTTTAGACGACGACCTTTTCTTTCTAGGAAGTCAGCTACAGAATACCCTTAAAGATGCAGAGGTATTATATGGACCCCTTTCAGCCTGGATTCAGATCCAGGCATGAGATGAAAATGACATTGATCATTCTTGTCAATGAACTTAAACAGGATCTGGATGGAAAGAGTGCACCTCTTTCCTATCACACCTCTCCACAGCATGATACCATCAACCATGGTATCTCCCAGACCACAACTGGAGATTGTGAGTTGGAAGCATTGTGCTTCAGTGGTTTCACCCCTTCATAAGTGGGAAGTTCCAGTTGGTAGCAGTAGGAGAAGTCCAGTGGAAACTCATGTGGAGTCCCTCAGGACTCATTCCTGTTTTGTTTAATACAGCTTGGAAAGGTCATCCATCAGCTTGGGGTAAGATATCAGTGTTATGTTGATGCTGAAAGTCTGAGTTGCAGATGTCATGGAAGTCTTGATCTGTTGCTTGGAGGCTTAGTCTGAATGGGATGAAATAGGCTGAAGTCAAATCCCAGCAAGACAGAGTTGATGCCTGTGTAGAAAGGTTCTCTGCCACCTTTTGTGATAACTCTGGATGAGACGATATTTTCCCTGACGAATTGGGTCCCCAATTCAGGGATCTTCCTGGATTCATAGTTACTTTATAATAGTCAGATGGAAGCCCTAGAAGGCCTTGCTCAGTTCTGCTCTGACCTGGAGTAGGAAGCCTTGGCAAAAGTGACTCATGTAATTGTCAGAACTTGCTTGACTACTGTAATGCTCCTTTTGAAAACCACTCAGAAACTGCAATTGGTTTCAAATGCAGCAGTTTGCATGTTAGCAAATCAGAGTTGCCATAGTTGTATAACACCTACACTGCACTCACCGCATTGGTTGCCAATAGGTCTCTGGGTGTTGGCTTTGACTTATAAAGTCCTATATGGCTTGTCTTTTAGGTACTTAGGTTTACCTTCTCTGTGTAGAAGTGACATATAGGACCTTTCTGGTGTGCGCACTCTAACAAGATCTTTTGGTAGTCCCCCAGTTTCATGAAGTAGGTAAAGGCTCACAGACAATGTCAGCTATAGCTAAGGGCAGGTTATCTCCCTCAATTACTGGCCTTCTGGAAACTAGTGAAAACAAAATTACTCCAGGAAGCATTTGGAGATTGAAGAGTAGATTTCCATCTGTACTGACGTAACATGCACGGATATAAGAGCACTCTGAGGCCAGCCTTTTAGATGGGGCCTTGGCAGTAAGAGAGCTCTGGTACCAAACTTTCTGGCATTTAAAGTTCTTTAACTGTTACAATTCATTTTCTGGAATTCATGTTCCATTGCTACATTGCCTGAATTCCCATTGCCCTGTGCCAGTTCAGGGTTGCTATCTATTCTTACAGATCTGGAACCTCCTTTCTGCATTGCTCCTGTGGCACACTGCTTATTGGCAGGAAAATGACACAGAAGTGCCTTGCTGCCATCTAGTGTTCATCTGGAGTTTTGCAGTCAAAATATGGTGGCTCTGCCTGACATGGTGACTGCAGGTTCCAAAGCAGCTGCTTCCCCTACCTTTGCTATGTTATCCCACTGTCAGCATAGAAGACATAAGCTTTTGATCTTCTAGCAA